ATCCGGTGGCTTGCAAAAACTATATAAAGTATTAAAGCTAATTCTCCTTAGTGCTTCTTTTGCCAAAACATGAGCCACCATATTTCCTTCCCTGAAGCTATGCTTGAATGATATCATCCCCTCCCTGGATGCCTCCTCCACCAATAACCTGCATATATGACATAGTTCATTGTTAGTGGCGTATTCTTTGTTGATAATATTAAGGATCTCCGTGGCATCAGTTTCAATTTCTATAGGGAACATATGTTCCCTAATGATTATTTGTAGTGCATGTATGAAGGCCTGAAGTTCCGTCTCCATTGGTGAGCTTGCATGGACTTTCATAAAAAACCCTGTGTTCCATCTTGCCTTTGTATCTCGTATAACTCCACTGATGCCTCCTTCCATGTCATTTTTATTGAACGCTCCATCAATGTTTGCCTTGAGCTATCCTGTTGCTGGATTTTCCCATTTGACCCTGAGTCTTATTTCCTTGATAAGAGATGAATTCTTATATGATAAAAAACAGTATTCCTTTGTGTATGCAATTATTTTTTCCAAGTTTATAGGAGCAGTTTGGTTGTTAATGTTATTGTGGTTTCTATTGTTTCATATCCCCCAAAGAGCGAAAGGAAGTAATTGTTGCCAAGTTATATATCGTAAAATAATTTTTGGGGAAGACTTGAATAAGGAGCTCAACCAATCCTTTTTTCCTTTAATATTCTCTATGGTTACCCCAATTTTTTGCCATAATTTCTCAGCTATAGGGCATTCCCAGAAAATGTGATATATAGACTCAGTGTTATTCTTACAAATAGGGCACATTGGGTCTATGTTGATGCCTATCTTGGCTAGATAACTCCTAGTGGGAAGTCTCATATGGTGTAGTTTCCATATGAACATTTTTATCTTGTTAGGGCATTGTAACTTCCAAATCCAATTTGTAGGGTTTGAGTCCGGTATATTGTTATCTATGAGCTTATAGGTAGAGGAAGTTGTGAATGTACCCCCTCCATTAAGGCTCCAATTCAGTATAGTATGGTTATTTAAACGAGGTGCATAGTTTATTGTATTGATGCAGTTTCGAATGTTACTGGATAGATTAAAATATAATTTTCCTAAATTCCACCCTTGTGTACCACATATATCTCTTATACGTAAGGTTTCCTCTCCTTTGTTTAGAGGTCCTGAAATACAACTGCGTAAATTACTAAAATTTGGAATCCAATTCGTATCCCATATATTCAAGCTGTACTGATTATCTACATGCCATCTGATGCCTTTATTACAAAAGCTCCAGCCTATTATTAAACCTTTCCAAGTATTCGATGACCCAATGGTTCTTATTCGTTTTGCATAAATGCTAGTTAAGACCTTAGCCCAAAGGGATGTTATGTTAGTAAGTATTCTCCATGCCAAACCTGTCAGTAGAGCCTGATTTTTAGAAAGAGCCTTTTTAATACCTAGTCCACCATTTGAATTATTTTTGGTAACTACATCCCATCCCACCAAATGAATTTTCTTTTTATCCTTTGTAGTACCCCATAAGAAGTCTCTCTGAATTTTTTCTATCTCTTTCAGAGTTTTGCTAGGAAGCTGACTAATTTGCATTAGGTGGTTAGGTAAAGTATTTAAAGTAGATTTTATTAAAGTGCACCTCCCCGCCATACTTAACCACTTGGCATTCCAATTATTTAACCTAGCCCTCATCTTATCTAGTAAGGGTTGGTAATCCCTATGTCTAGGAGTGTTATTTATTATTGGAAAGCCCAGGTAATTTCCAAAGGTATTACTAACAACAATCCCAAGAGTGTTAGCAACCATTTCCCTAGTTTGAGTTGTACAATTTCTGGACAGGACTATTTTTGACTTTGCCTTGTTAATATGAAGGCCAGATAGTGTACTAAAATCATTCATGCATTTTATAATAGCCCTAAGAGTTTTTTGGTCAGCCTCACCCATTAAAGTCATGTCATCAGCAAAAAATAAGTGGGAGAGGGGTGGTGTCTTTGGATTTATTTTAACAGATACCCAATTCCTAACATCCACTTCATGGTTAATATTTTTTGAAAGCATATCCATGCATAATATGAATAAATAAGGGTACAAAGGGTCTCCTTGCCGAATCCCCCTAGTGGGTATGAATTCATTTGTTTTGTTACCATTGACAAGGACTGAAATTGAGCTTGTGGTAACACAATTGAGGATTAGATTGCTAATGTTCCTGGGGAAATTGAAAAAATTTAGTGTTCCATAAATGTAAGACCATTCCGCTTTATCGAATGCCTTTTCAAGATCTAGCTTCAGGATCATTTTTTCTTTACCTTTGGAACGGTTAAGGTTCCTAATGACTTCTTGAATTATTATAGCATTGTCACTTGCTCTCCTTCCTTTTATGAAGCTGGC